GGCTCTCGCAACCGTCTGCTTCATCTTCATCTCAGCTTCCATTTTTATCGAGCACATGATCCACCTCATCTCCAACGTACGTGGGTGGTTATGTACATATATAATTTCAAAAGAGTTCTACTTGTGTTTGTTAAATTATGCCTCTATATGAGTATATTTACTCTTTTGTTTAAACTTGTGCATGCAGTGGCTCAAGAAACATAGACGAACTGCACTCTTTGAGGCAGTGGAGAAGCTTAAATCAGGTATCTTTTTAATTATATAGATACTGTGTTTTTGGTTTAATTTTACAAATAGGTTGATTTCTCTTTGTGTTTTTTTTTCTTGTTTTGCACATGCAGTTCTCATGGTCTTGGGACTCATGTCTCTAATTTTGACGGTAAATCAGAGAGGTATTTCCAAGATATGTGTACCCACTGAAGTTGCAGATAACTTTCTTCCTTGTCGTAGAAATACTATTAAAACTACCAAAGCAATAGGATCATTCGAGCCAATATGGGCCAATTCTGTCCACAGTTCATTTCATCAGAGAATATTGGCTGTAGCTGAATCCTCTACCAACTGTCCTAAGGTTTGCTGAATCCTCTCTGACTTCATTAATGGATGAATTTTCTTGTCTTGGCAATTACTTGAAATCCTGTTTTACAGGGAATGACCTCTCTTATATCACCACAAGGGATCAACCAACTGAGCATCTTCATCTGTGTATTAGCAGTTATGCAGATTGTATACTGTGTTATGACAATGGCTTTAGGAAGGGCCAAGGTATGTAATTCAGGAATTGAAACTCAAAATCAGCACACTAATTAATTAAGAAAATTAAGAAAGCACTTTTCTGCGCAGTTTTGCTGTGTCTTACAGTATTTTGTGACTGAAAATTTTGTTTATGTTGATATGTGTTATGGTAGATGAGACGGTGGGAATCCTGGGAGAGGGAAACACAGACGGTGGATTACCAGGTAGCCAATGGTAAGTTATATATATTCAAAATTTTTTGTAAAATTAATAATAATTTTCGTCCCCACGTTTCCTTCTTTTGACTTTCATTCTGTAGAATTGTGGCTGTGACGTAACTGAGAGTTTCTTTTATACTAAATGAAAATTCTTCTTTAATTTAACATATTCCTCTGCCATCGTAGTCTTTAATTAATGATCTAGCTTTACACGCCTCCACCCTTGACTCTTATAATAGGATCTTTCAGCCGAAGGTGTAACCCGATTGACACGTGCTGACATAATTAATGATATTTCAACTGAAAAGAAATATATTGACCTAACCCTTGTGTGCTTAACTGCTTGTGGAAATTTAAGTCATGACTAGTAAGTGTCTGAGAGTTGGTACACAACCTTATCTCCCGAAGGGAGTTTCACAATAATCATGCTGAATCAACCCATTCACGCATACGGCTGACTCGCTGAGTGAAAGAACTAATCATGATCATTGTCAGTTTGTCACATACGATTATAAAACTCTTTCCCGAAATAGGAGTGTATATGTTAATCATTTTTCTTAGAGTATATTATAGTCTATGATGATTCCAATTACCACATTCAATTCAGTTATCAAGATAGCGGCATAGCCACGCAAAATTGATAATAAACTTTTATGTTAGTTATAGTATAGAAATTTCTAAAAGTTTGACGTATCAACTCCGTAGGGCTTTTTTTTTTTTTTTTTTTTTTTTTTTGTAAGAATTGCTTAGTTTTGAAGTGGGGCTGCAGATACTATATCAAAGATAAAATTCAATTTAAATGTTTGAGGATGGCTCAATATGTCTCTCTGGATCATGGCATGTGTTCTATGCTCCATTCTTATAAAGCTTTATCTTCTTATATGATGTAGGGAAGGTCAGGGTAGAACAAACAAAAACTAAAAACTCTGTAAAATTAAAAATAGAACAAAGAAAACTTAGGTTTTCAACTTAAAGTTTATTCTCAAACTAAAATCTTATAACGAAAATTGCTTTTGAAATCTAAGAAGAATAATTGT